GGGTTCGATTCCCAGCATCCCATATGGTCCCCCCAAGCACTGCCAGGAGTAATTCCTGAATGCATGAGCCAGGAGTAACCCCTGAGCATCGCCAGGTGTGACCCAAAAAGCAAAAAAAAAAAAAAAAAGCCAGAGCAGTGCCGGGATTTTAGTACCACGTCACTAGCCCTCCAAATTTGTGTGGACTAGATTATGACCGATTTTACGAGCAAAATGAGGCCGGGGGAGAGGAAGGTGCTGCCCGGTCTCCACCCCCTCCCTCCATGCTTGGTCCTCCGGCCCCCTACCAGGTGACCCCCCCGCAGGGGTAGCCTGGAGCCCACAGACGGAGCGGGGACACAGCAGTGAGCCCCAACCCTGCCCGTCTCTGCGGGTCTGCCGGGCTGACCCCACGCAAAGGAGTGTGAGCGGGCCCTGGCTCTGCTCTCCGAACCCCACTTCTCTCTGCACCCCGGAATGGGGAGAACCGTATTGGACAGCGTGTGACAATCGAACAGCAGCCTGCCTTCCAGAAGCGGTCTCAGGTCGCTCGAGGCTGCTCCCTCGTTTGCGAACCAGTGTCCTCTTTCTTGACAAACTCCGGCTTCCCCTGAACTCGCCCTCCTTCTACACCCGCTTCCTGCCTCCCACGTGGAGCCCTGACCCACCCACTCCGTTTCTTTGCTTCTCCGGGACTCCGGAGATCCCGTCACGTCACGGCAGGAAAGCACGCGGGAAGTGCTTGCATTGTCCGTCCTGTCCATCTGTCCTTCGGGAAGGAGCCCAAGGAAGCACGCAAGGCCTGGTGGCCGCGAGGGTCTGAGAGGAAGGCCCACCCCGTGCTGTAAGCCACAGGGGTCCCCCCGACCAGAGTCCAGATGGACCCCGCACGTCTGCATCGGGACGGGCGTATGTTTGTTTTTCTCTCCTCTGGGATCTTTCAGCCAAGTGCTCCGAGAACAAACCCCCCTTGGAAATTGCCCAGTGCCCGGCGTGTGCTTTGTGTGGCCAATTAAGACTGGGAAGGGCTTTGTTCCCAGCGGTCAGGGGGATGCTTGGGGAGGGCTTACCTTGCTCAGCGGGGGGTTTGGGGGGGCTGAGCCCTCAATAGAACAATCTTCCCCCACCCCCCCAGCCCAGACAGTCGCTCATTCTTCCTGCTCTGAAGTCAGACGCGCCAATCACACAGAGCCGTGGGATCCCCGATCAGAACAGAATTGCCACAAAGGGGAGCTTTATCCCAGCAGCCGGGACTGACACTCGTCAGGAGCACCGGCCGTGGGGGTGCCCTGCCGGGCAGGGCCGCAGGACCAAGAGGGCAGAGATCCCAGACTGCTTTTGGTTGCTTCTAGAAACGCCGTCTGCTGGACTCTGCTGCCCTTCAGATCCGCTGGCCATTGGCGCTGCTCTGGGGTTCTGTGGCTGTTCTGCCAAGCGGGGTGGGGCGTGCCTTGCTGGGGTCCCTCCCCCTAACCTGCACCCATTCGGGTCCAGTGAGTGACCGCACGTGGTAGAGAGTTCTCCTAATGCGTGGGGTACTGGACGGTCCTTGGCCTCATCAGGATGACTCGGATTTGGCCATCAAAATCCATCTCCCAACGGTGACAGGGCCAGTTGCCCGGCCGTCAGTCATCAATGGGCGTGGCCTCGGCCCGCAGGACTGTTTCTCAATGTGCAAGACAGAACTGGCCAGGCCACAGTCCCTGAGGCTCACCGGGGACCAACCCTGCCCGCGAGGGACAACTGAGAAGGATGTTGAGTGGATGGTGGCCGCCATCCCAGGGTCGTCCCCCTTCCATCATGCCAGGTGACATCCCCAGGAAGCGTCTGGTCAGGCAGGAGCCACGGTGGGCAGAGGCCCGTCTGCACCCTGGGACAAGGGTGCATTGTCTCTGCAGATGCCAGGAAGGCCTCACGCAGCAAGGGAGACAGCCCGTGGCTCTCAGCCTGGTTCCTGCCCTCCTGCCTGCCACGCTCCCCTGGGGACCAGCGTCCAGGGCAGGGAGGCTGTGACATCTGGTTCAGCTGGAAGAATCTGTTGTGGGTTGGTTGTTTTGTTTTTGTTTTTGTTTTTTTCTTTTTGGGTCACACCCAGTGATGCACAGGGGTTCCTCCTGGCTCATGCACTCAGGAATTACCCCTGGCGGTGCTCGGGGGATCCTATGGGATGCTGGGAATCAAACCCGGGTCAGCCGCATGCAAGGTAAATGCCTTCCCCGCTGTGCTATCGCTCCAGCTCCATCTGGTTTAGCTGGGACTGGCAGGGTGCAGGGTGTGTGTGTGTGTGTGTGTGTGTGTGTGTGTGTGTGTGTGTATGTGTAATGAACCATCAGAGCTTACGAGTCGGGGCTTGGGAGTAGGACTGGAGGGAAGAGAGAGGTGTCGCGTCTGTTTCCACATCCTGGACACGGCCCTCGCCATGGGAAGAGCATGCGTCCCCGCTGTCCAGCCACAGGGCCCAGAGGTGCCAGGCAAACCCCCTGGGGGCCGGGACACCCTCACTGCGTGGGCAGTGCTGCCACATGGGGCCTGGGAAACCTGTGATACACCCGAACTGTGGCCCTGCCAAGGAAACGCCTCCTGTCTCCTAGGGGTCCGGAGTAGTAGGAGTTTGGGGGTGCAGGGTGTATCAGCATTTCTTCTGGTGCATTAATTCTGGTGTGGGGGCTCCCGCCTGCAGAGCCCCGCCCCACCCTTTGACTTCTCCCCGGGCCTTTGCACACATGGTCCTGTAGGCTTGAGTGACAGAGGCCTGGGACAGCTGTGACTCCCGCCAGGACCCTTCTCTGTCTTGGCATTCGGTGGTTTCTGCAGCTCACGGGCGCGGCTGGAGTACCCGCTGCCCCACTAGTGCCCGCGCTGTTCTGTGGGGTCGGTGCTTCAGTCCCCTCTGGCAGAGCTGGGCGTCTCCCGCGTGCAGGCAAACAGACCCCCAGCGCCCCGAGGGGCACCTGGGTCCCCTCCCGACCCCGTGTCGGCCTGGGCCTCTTCTCTTTGCTCCCTCGCCTGGCAGGTCCTGAGTCCCGTCACCATGGCCACTGTCGCTCTCAGCGGCCTGGTGTCCTGTACGCTGCAGGTTCTCCCCTGTGGGCAGCTGAGCCGGTGTGTATGGAGTGGTCTTGGTGATGGCCCTCCTGGCCCTACTCTTGGCCCCGGGCAAACGGGCCGGGAGACTGCAAAGGCCGGTCGCGTGATGTTTATATTAAACAGCATGTGTGGTTCTCAGAATGCCGGGACTGGCCAGCCCTGCTGACCCCGTAGCTGCTGGAGCGGGCATGGGGGGGAGGGGGGAAGCTGTGACCGGGCAGCCCCGCCCCCCGCGGGCTCAGGGCGTTTCTGCCCGCTCCCTCCCCTGCTGGCCTGAACTCGCTGTGAACTCCCCCAGGGACCCACACTTGGGCTCACAGCCTACCCGCCACACCCCAGAGACTCATGTGCGCGCGCACACACACATCTGTGATTGCCTCATCTCCAAACCGAATGCTCTAAGAATCCACACTGGATCTGAAGGCACAGCCGGGCCGTGCAATGGGGAGGCCCCGGGCTGCTTCCTGGGCCCCGGGAAAGCCGGGAAAGCTGGGCGCAAGGGAATTAGGTCACAGGACAGAGGGCGCCTTGGCTCCCGGCTGCAGTCACAAAAGCTGCGGCCCGAGATGAGTTCCGGGACCTTGGGCAGCCAGAGGGAAAGGGTCTGAGGCTAGTTGGAGGAGGAGGAGGAGGAGGAGGAGGAGGAGGAGGAGGAGGAGGAGGAGGAGGAGGAGGAGGAGGAGGAGGAGGAGGAGGAGAAAGGGGAAGAGGAGGAGGAGGGGGAGGAGGGAAAGGAGGAGGAGGAGGGAGGAGGAGGGGCATGGCCGGGCGCCCGTGAGTGAGGCTCAGGCCCCCTTGCACCCTGACCTGTGGGGCGCGGGTCACTGACACGCGGCCACACACAGTCTGTCTTGGTGCAGACGCCCACATGCTCCTGCCCTGCCCTGGTTGCGCACTGCTGCCTTCTGCAACCCTAGGTCCCCCCCTGTGGCCCCCAGCCCTCCCCCAGCCCCTCTGCCCCCCTCCCTTCCCCCACCCAGTCCTACTTCCTTCCTTCAGCATCCTGAGCACCTCCTGGGGCGCCCCCCTTATCACCCAGCCATGGCCACCTCGTGCCTCCGAACCGGCCCAAATGGGCCTCAGCCCTGTGCCTGCCTGGCCAACCGCCTGGACCCCCTGAGCGTCCACACTTCCGCTGGCCACTGAGTGGGCGAGAATGGCACAGGAACTGCAGGGGACAGGGGTTATGGTGAGGGTGGATGCTTGACAAGACCCCCTTCCTATGGGACTCCCCCTTCCTGTGGGAAACCCCCACACCCCTGCACTCCTACCCTGGCCCCGAACGACCCTGGGGCCTGGGATCACTGGTGGGCCACCAAGCCGTGTCCACGCCTGGAGGCTGTTTGCTTTTTCCTTTCTGGAAGTCTTGGTGTTCTTCCCCAGACCTCCCTCGGGGCCACCCAGCTGCCCCTCTGTTTCTGCAGGTGGAGGACAGGTGCTGGCGTGGACAGCGCCTCCAGACACGGGGGTCTCGTTGGCCCTCTGTTTGTGAGGGCCCTACCTCCTCGAGGGCCAGTTCCCCCACGCCTGCCCTCCAGGCCTTGGGGTTCAGCCCTGGCTGGCCGGGCACTGAGCTGTGTCCCTGGCTTCTGCCTGCCAATTGCCAGCTGTACCCTTGCCCACAGCCGGGGCTTGGGCAGTGCCCAGCGTCTCCTGAGTCTGGCGTGCCCCTCCCCCAGTCTTGCAGGGGTGGGGTCTTCGCTGCCCCCAGGCCTGTGGACTGCCCTTGGATTGTCCTTCCGAAGGCCGCGAAAAGAAGGGACCTTCTCGAGAGTTCTCCATCGTCCCTCTGAGAGCCAGTCATGGGCCCCAACCTGCACTCTGCCTCCGCCATGGGGGTCTCACCGCCTCCCCACGGGGGTCTCACCACCTCCACGTGGGAGTCTTGCCGCCTCCCCGCGGGGGTCTCACTGCCGTCCGGGTCTGTCTTGCAGCTCCATCAAGAGGACCAGCTCTTCCGAGCGCGTCTCTCCCGGAAGTCGAAGGGAAAACTCCGGGGACCCCAAAGGCAACCGTAACCGCACCGGGTCCACCAGCAGCTCCTCCAGCGGGAAGAAGAATAGCGAGAGGTAAGGGGCACCCTGGGCACCCGCCCTGGCAACGAGTCCAAGGGTGGCCTCAAGCACGAAGCCAGGAGCTCAGGGGGGTCCTGTGAGCCTCAGGGCGCTGCTGAGACCACCTCTCCGGGCAGCCCCATCACCATCCAGCCCCAGGCCCCCGGCCCCGCAGCACATAGAGCTCCTGAGCATTGGCTGGGGCTGGGGACGGGACTTTTCCCAGTGTCCCCTGCAGCGCGTGTCATCTTTGCAGAGCCCAGCCCCACACGCCCGCCGTCCTTTCTCCATCCCGGCAAGACGCCGGACTCGCAGTTTGTCAGAAGCTGTTCGCACGACTGAGCCGGCGCCAGAAATAGGAACCGCGTTCCTCTTGGTTTCTCGAACTGCGTTTCTAATTCTGAATCTGGCTTTCTGGGTAGCTCGTAACGGGTGCTGGTGCCCACCTCGGGAGCACATGGGAGTGTAGGAACTTGGCTTCTCGGCTGCAGCTCCCTGGCCCCGACCCCTCCCGCGCTCGTCTAGAACACGGGACTGTCACTTCATTCTCGAGGGTACACGACACGGAGGCCCACCCCGGGGGTCGGCTTCCAGATGCTCACGTGAAGGCCAGGACTTTGGTGCCCAGCGGTCAGCGCAGCCCAGGGGTGCCCAGACAGTGACCCGGTAGGTTTGTCATGATCCAGCTCGTGAGGGAAGCTGGCACTCGCTCCCTGGCACTGTCTCCGCAGCTGCTGGCGTGGGTTCTACCCTCTCATCCAGACAGTTAGCCTCCCTATCTGAAGATGAGGCTGACTGGAGGCTTATGCTCCGGAAGCTACAGGCCCTAGCGACAGGCGCCTGCCACGGCCCGCCAGAGCAGTTCTGCAAACGTGGCTCCTTCCCCACCCATCTGATTCCCATTAAGAAGTTCTAAAAGAGCCCGCATTGTGTAATCTCCACATCTATTTTATCTGTTAGATCCTCCGGCTTCGTAGATGGACTGGATAAATATTTCCATGAAAGATATTTACAGAGGAATTTTTTTTTTCCTCTGCCACCATGGAAACTCCTGGTTTGGGAGTGAGGGAATGGGAACTCTGACGAATAGCCTTCTGGAAGGCTCGGGACGTGCACAGAGCATGCCTGTGAGAGCTCACGCTTTGCACACGGCACCACAGAGGGGAAGCCCGGCTCTCAGGGGCCCTGCGGGGCCAACCACAGAAATACAGGAGCGGCAGGGCTGGACACGGCCTTGTTGCCCCCCATGGGGCGAGGCCCGGCACCTGACCCCTTCCCAGCCTTGACTCCCGGGAGCAGCTGTGCTTGGTGGCTTTCACCCTCTGGAGCAGCCTTGTCCGGCCAGTGCTGTCCCTGGGCTCGCGGGGTGAAGGGCACCCAGTTCATTCCTTTGTAACTGGACGGTCTCTGAGCGTGTCACCCACGGCACTCAGAAGCATCTGCCTACGGCTCGGGTGCTCCTCACATCTGCCCACGGCTCCATGGTACTCACACTCACACATGTGCACACACGTATATACATACACACACACACATACACACTCATTCACACATGTGCTCACAAGCACACACAAACACGCTCATACTTATACACACTCACACACACGAGCTCACACTTACACACATACACGCATTCACAATGTACTCACACACATACACACACTCACACTCATACACACTTACACACACGTGCACTCACACACATGCTCACTCTTCCATACGCACTCACACACGCTCGCACATATAATCACACACACACATGCTTACGCAGACACACTCACACGCACACACATGCTCACACTCACAGACGCACACAGACACGCACACACGCTCACACTCATACACGCTCGCACGCACGCTGAGTCAGTGAAGGGCGCTCCTCCTCCTGGGGCGCATCTGAAGTTGGGTGAAGGCAGCTGATCTTCAGGGCGCTGTGCGGGGCGGGTCTGGGCGGCCGGCCTGCGTCCTCCGACGGTGGCCGTACCCTCCGCGAGTCGGCAGGACTCAGCGCCCCTCCGCGCGCCCCTGTGTCCCAGCAGCCCCGCGGCTGAGATGCTGTGGCTTGAAGGGGTCGGCCTGGCCTTTCCGCCAGAGCTGCGGGAGCACTGTGTGAGCAGCGCCGCCTAGTGGTGGGTCGCACCACCGCGCTCTAGCCGTGAGCCCGCCGCTAGTGAAGCACTTGCTCTGTCTCTGCTTTCAGACCTCATGCACCTGTGCTCAGGGCCGACTCCTAGCTCTGTGCTCAGGGCCGACTCCTGACAAGCTCGGGGCCCCTACGGGGTGCCGGGGATCAAACCCAGGTCAACGGCATGCAAGCAGGCACCTGCCTCCTGTGCTGTTGCTCCGCCCCCTCCTCTCACCCCTGTGAACCATAGTTTTCACCCAGACCGTTTCATCCTCCGAGCCACGGCTGCGCCCACCGCTCTGCCAGTGCAAACCTTCTTCGTTGCTTTGCTTTGAGGCTGCTGGGTAGAGCCCATAAGTAGAGGTGGGCTCGGGCCCGTGGAAGTAGGAGGAAGGAAGAATCCTCCCGACCGTGGCGGGGCCTCAGGGGCACACCGCGTCCCATCCTGCACCCTCAGAAGCCCCCAGAAGCTGTGCCGTGTCCACAGGCTGGGGACCCTGCACCGGCCGCTCCCAGCCAGGCTTCCCGCCGACCAGAGAGCAGCACCCCCACCCATCACAGAACCGCTCTCAGGGGAGGCCAGGGTGGGGGAGACAGGTGGGGGATGAGGTCAGAGTTCACTTCCTCTCCTGGGTGCTGGTGCCTGCTGGGACCGAGTACTCCCGGGTCCCCTCCTGCATCTCCTCCCGCGTTCCCCCCTCCCCCATATCCCTCCCGCGTCCCCTCCCATGTCCCTGGCATCCCATAAGGTCCCCCGAGCACCGCCAGGAGTAATTCCTGAGTGCAGAGCCAGGAGTAGCCCCTGAGCATCGCCCGGTGTGACCCCAAAAAGCAAAATGAAATGCAGAGAGGGCATGCCAGGTGTGTGCCTGCCAAGGAGCATGCACGCACACATTCACATACACACACACACAGGTGTACCCATGTGCACACACATACACACATGTCCACACACACACACACACATACATGTGCTCAGCGTTGCTCTTCCTCACTGCCCCCCACCCCGGAGCGGGTCTCCTGTTCTCTGCTTGCACATGGGGTCACCGGGCAGCTGGTGGGCAGTGGCAGAGCCTGGGCACTAGAGTCCTGACACAGGACCTGCTCTAGGCCTTTCCGAACCTCTTTCTTGGCCGCCATGGGGTGAGGCTGTCCCCACGGTGGTGGCCAAGGGGCCTCTCCTGGTCTCCCAGCCCCGGGCCCTACCCAGTCCCCACGGCCACGCCCCAGGGTTCCCTGGCACCCTTGGGGTGGGCTCTGACTGCCCATGGGAAGAGAAGAGGAAGGAAACTGAGGCACGAGGCACGTCGCCCTTCCCAGTAGGACTCCTGAACCACTGGACGGTCCCCCTGCCCTGACCATGACCAGGCACGGCCTTGGCGACATGGGCATCGTGACCCTTGTGCCTGCAGGCAGCCCTGCACCCTTGGTCTCTGAGGACACTCCCTGTCCTGCAGCTGCCCAGCCGAGTACCGCTGGGGTGCGGGGGGCCTGCAGGGGGCGGGCTGGAGCACCCCGAGTCCCCGGCCCCCGCGTGAGCGAGCTGAACCCAGGAGCCCTCTAAATGCCGTGTCTGTATGTGTTCTTCCCACAGCAAACCCAAGGAGCCCGTCTTCAGCGCAGGTAAGCCGGCTGCGGGGTACGGCCGCCCCCTCGCCCCTGCCCGAACCCCCACATGGAAGCAGCTGAGCCCAGACAGTCAGAACCTGCCTCGCTCAGACAACCGGGGTTGGGGGGTCTGACCCCTCCTGCACCCCTACCACAGGGGAACAGCAATGACTCTGGGGCCGCTCTCCCGACCCCCTGTGCCTCGGAGGAGGCTGCATTCCCCTGGAGCTTGGTCCAAAAGTAGCTCTTCTTCTTTTTCTGCCTCTGATTTCCCAAACTAATCATTCTTGTTCCCGAGCTTCTTAAAACCCCAGAACTCTGCATCTCGCCATGGGGAAGATGCTCATTCCAGGAGACTAACTAGATCTCACGGGGGCGTGTGAGACTCAACCCTGAGCCGCAGCGCGCTCAGCCTGGAGAAGCCCCGGGCTTGATTCCCTGACCCCTCTGGGTGCCTAAACTCTGCTGCTGGTGGCCCCCAAGCCTCCCAGGGGTGGGCCCAGATACCACAGATAAAAAAGGAAAGAAAAATGCAGAGGAAGCGCACCCCAGGGCACTGTGATGAAGTCCTGGCGGGGCCGAGATTCTTGTCCAGGGCACGTGCACTCCTGTTCCTCTGCGGGGGGGGGTGGACCCCGCCCTGGGGAGAGGTCCCCCCAAAGCTTGCAGAGCCCAGCGACCCCCCCAAAGCTTGCAGACCCCAGTGACGGGGGTGGGCAAGGGGGTCATGCCGCAGCTCACCCTGTCTCCTCATCCAGCACTTCTGTCTCTGTCTCCGAAATCCCAAGGCAAGCGCCGGGTGACCCACTGCAAAGGTAGGCGGCCCGGGCAGGCCGCGCCCGGCTGCAGGACAGCACCTTGACACCCGGCAGCAGCCCTGAGACCCCCGGGCGGGTGTGGCACTGCGTGTGCGCTGGGCCGTGGCTGGCTGACCGTGTCTGCGTGCTCCCGCTCGGCCCCCGCGTGTGGTTTGGCGTGTACGGGCCGCTGAGCTGGTCGCTCTCCTGGGCAGCGTGTGCCGTGGGACCGCTCAGTGGAGGAGGATGGGGCAGGGGGACGCCTCCGGCTGGGGACCACATTCTCCGGGGGCGATGTCCTAGCGTAGCGCGCCTTAGGGACAGCCAGAGGGGCTCTCGTGCATGCCCAATGGCATCGTACGAGCCGTGGACGGGACAGGATCGGTGAGGAGAGTGTGGCCCGCTTGACACCCGCCGGCCTGATGAGCGGCCCAGGGTGGGTCCCTGAAGAGGCCAGGCGGTTCCTGTGGCAGGGAGGCCCCGCGAGGACCAGCCAGGAGTGCAGCTTTGGCCCTGCCTGCTTGGGGAGGGCCACCAAGGCCGCCAGGGAGCAGAGACCCTGCGTTTCTCTGGAAGTTGATGAGTTGCCCTGAATGTCCATTTCTGGATTTCTCTGTTGTCCCTGCATCTATTAAACAGGTTTTTGTGGAAGTGTTTGCCCTGGGTGGTTTGGCTTCCCCGCTCTCTAACCGCTCTCTCCTGCTTCCTGCTGGTCCCCGCCCTCCTGGGGTCTCTGCATGCATCTAGCACGACTTCTGTGGCCTGTTCCCTGCCCTCCAAAGGTGTTTCACTAATAAAAATTTTAAAAAAATAAATTAAATTAAAAAATAAACAAAGACCGTCCCATTAGGAGAGACATAAGGGGCCCCAGCGATAGCACAGCGGGGAGGGCGTTTGCCTGGCATGCAGCCGACCCGGGTTCCACCCCCTGCATCCCATAGGGTCCCCCGAGCACCACCAGGAGTGATCCCTGAGTGCAGATTAACCCCTGAGCACCATAGGGTGTGGCCCAAAACAAAACTAAACTAGAAAAGAAAGTCCCTTTGCGTCTCCCCATTTGAATGTCCGGTGGCACCCGATAAACGTGGCCCTTGAGCCTGCACGTTCTCCAGCCTCGGGACAGACCTTCTGTGCCGTGTCAGTCGCAGTCTGTGGGTGCCCCGGTGCCTCTCCCCGCCGAGGAGGAAAGTCGGAGCTGACCGTTGGGCGAGGACTCTGTGGGGCCCAGGCCCCTCCCGCCCGCCAGGCCCGGCGGTCACCCCTCACTGGACTCTCCCTCTCCGTAGAGGAGGGCTACGTCAAAATGTTCCTTCGCGGCCGCCCCGTCACCATGTACATGCCCCGGCACCACGTGGACTCCTACAACCTGGAGGCGAAGGTGGAGCTGCCCGCCAAGAGGCTGAAGCTCGAGTGGGTGTATCCTTCCGCGCCCTGCACCCCCACTTCCTGCCGCTCCCCCCCCCCAGCTCCCCGCACCCGCCATCCCGCTCCCATCCCTCACCCCGCACCCCGCACCCCGCACCCATCCCACCCCACCCCACACTGTCCCACACCCCTCCCACCCCCTCCTGAACCCTCCCTCACCCTCCCACCCCATCCCACCTCCTCCCACCCCCATCCCACTCCTCCCACCCCTCCCACCCCTTCCTACCCCTTTCGACCCCATCTCACCCCCTCCCAAACCCATCCCACCCACTCCCATCCCCTCCAAGCCCTCCCACCCCTTCCTGCCCCTTTCCACCCCCTCCCACCCCCTCCCACCCTTTCCCACCTCTTCCTACCCCTTTCCACCCCATTCCACCCCCTCCCAAACCCATCCCACATCCTCCCGAGCCCTCCCACCACCCCCTCTGAACCCTCACACCCCCTCCCACACCCAGCCCATCCATCCCCCTGCTCCCCACACCTGCCCATCCCGTCATCGCTGCTGCTTCTCCCCTGAATTCAGGGGAGTCAGGGCCAGGAGCTCAGGGTTCCACTGTAAACATTCGCGGAACTTTTTTGCCAGATCATTTCCCTACCCAGTTCAAGTGGTATTTCGCTCTCAAAGTTGTGTTTCAGGTTTGAACAGATCCATCCCAGAATCTGAAACGCTTTGAAATGGGTTTTCGGTTTTGTTTTAGACACTCTGATTTGCAGTAACAATAATACAGGTTTTTACGCGAAAACAACCCCAACCCAGCACCCTCCCCAGAGTGTCCGCTTTCCTCTGCTGTATCTCACATCCCAGGGTCCCCCACTCTCCTGCCCCTGCCCCCCCCACCAGAAGCTTTATCCCCGAGGAGCTGGGAACGGCGGGGAGCCAGAAAGAGTTAAGCCTTTTTCCTCTCCTGTGTGTGTGTGTGTGTGTGTGTGTGTGTGTATGGTACCTTTACAGATACTTTTATAAGGTTGAAAAAAAAATGGTTGGACTCCTAGATTACAACAGAAAAATAGCTCACGGGGCCAGAGAGCTGAGACGGGGCTGAGGGTACCCCCTTCCGTGTGGTTGACCCAGTTCTGTCCCCTGCGGCCAGTGCATCTTGGAGGCCTGGGGCCCTGCTGGAGTACCCCAATGTGCCGACACTGCAGTGACATTGCCACTAAGCCATATGCCTGACTGTCCCTGCGAGTACCTCCCAGATGAAAGCAAAGCCAGAGACGCACCAACGCTGGCAGCATGTGGGTGCCATTACTGATGGCATTTATTTTTACATATTTTATTTATTTATTTTTAGCAAAGCAAGGTAGTTGTGTGGGGTTTTTTTGTTGTTGTTGTGTTTGCTTTTGGGGTCACACCCAGCGATGCTCAAGGGCTAGTCCTGGCTTTGCACACAGAAATTACTCCTGGCGGTGCTCGGGGGACCATATGGAATGCTGGGAATCGAACCCAGGCCAGCCTTGTGCAAGACAAATGCCCTACCCTCTGTACTATCGCTCCAGTCCCACAAGGTAGTTTTAATTGCCTAAAACTGATTTAGAAAGACCTCAGGGGAGGCCCAAAGAGATAGCACCGCGTGTAGGGCATTTGACTTGCACACACTTATCTGGGTTTGATCCCCGGCATCCCACATGGTCCCCAGGAGTGATCCCTGAGTGCAGAGCCAGAAGTAATCCCTGCACATCGCCATGTATGACCCAAAACACAACAAAACAGGAGGGAAGAGAAAGAGGAAATTCAGGGCAAACAGAGGCTCAGAAGAGCCAGCCTATTTTTACCGACTTTAAAATGCAAGGATGGGGCCCGGAGTGATAGTACAGCAAGTAGGGCCTTTGCCTTGCACATGGCTGCCTCAGGTTCAATTCCCGGCATCCCATATAGTCCCCCGAACACCGCCAGGAGTAATTCCTGAGTGCAGAGCCAGGAGTAACCCCTGAGCATCACTGGGTGTAACCAAAAAAAATCAAATCCAAGGGCGTCAAAACTGAAACATTTTTCCCTTGGAACAGGACTTAAAACTGCTTGATCTGCTTTTGTTTGGAGGGCTTCCTGTGGTGCTCAGGTTCACAGAGGGGTACAGAGGAAGTGCCCCTCGCTGCTGACTCCCCACTGACCCCCGGTTCCCTCCTGCTCCCGTCTCTGCCCCACTCACGTCTGGTCAGAGAAGGAAGTTCCCTGAGAACACTGTCTTCTTTCCTGAGCCCCATGTTAGAAACACATATTCATGGGGGCAGAGGCCTTGCATCCTGGGGCCCGGGTTCCATCCCAACCCTCAACCCGGGGCGAGTCAGACCCAACGCCCAGAAAAGGACGCACCCACACGGGTGGCGTGGCCCTGCGCGGGGTCCCGGCTTCATAGGGGGGCTCTGCCTGGGTGTCCCTTGGGTGTCGCTGAGCATGTTGGCACCGATCCGCGTTAATCAAGCCACGTTCCCATGCGGGCCGCCCGTGGACAGGCCAGCACGGGCAAGTTTGGTCCGTGGGGCCGTGGGCAGCAGCTCGTGCCTGTCAAGTGCCGGGATCTGGGGTCCGCCCCCGGAGGGAAGCCGCCTGTTCCTTGACCCGCGCGCAGCTATGGGTACCGGGGCCGGGACTGCCGGAACAACCTGTACCTGCTGCCCACCGGGGAGACCGTGTACTTCATCGCCTCCGTCGTGGTCCTGTACAGCGTGGAGGAGCAGCTGCAGCGCCACTACACCGGCCACAACGACGACGTCAAGTGGTGAGTGGAGACGCTGAGGAGGGACGCCCTGCCCAACCTGGACTCCAGTGCCCTGAGCCCCTGAGGGCGCCCTCTGGGGGCCACCCTCCACCCCCACCCCCCTCCCCACCACCTCCGGCCCAGCCCCACCACCTGCTTCCCCGTAAAACATCCCGTGCTCGCAGCCTCAAGTTTGGGTCTCTGTGTTTCCAAGCCTGAGCCTGTCGCCTGCCGTTTTGTGACTGGTGTTTCTCTGCGGTTCTGTCGCCCCTACCGAGGCCTGACTGGGGATGTTTGTACCTCGGGAGAGGGGAAGGAACAGGAGGGGGTTCCCAAGGTTCTCTTGGTCCAAGCATCCTGGACGTCAGCTGTAAAAATCCCATTGGGGAAAACAAAAAGATCAAAGGGGTTTTGCTCTTTGATGTGCTCAGAGTTGCAGGTTATCTAAGGGGTCCTGAGATAGGACTGGCTTATTTTTCATCAAAGAGGCTTCTCTTTTTTAAAAAAAAAATTATATTTACTTTTTTGGGGGGGGGGAGGGGCACAGGGCTCAGGAACTGGCCCTCGGGGTTCAGAAACCGCCTTGGTCACTCAGATGCCCGGCGTTTCATACTTCTTGAACTTGATCATTGGAAAATCTGCCTCTGAAGAGGAAATGTTCTGTTATGGAGAGAGGCTCGGGGGTAGGGCATTGAGGGGGGGGTCACACCCAGCGAAGTGGTTGCTCTTGGCTTGGTGCTCTTGGACTGATCTCCATCAGTTCCACTTTAAGCCGGTGGGTTTCAATCCTCGTCCTCCTAAGACCCAATCCTGGCCCACAGAGCGGCCAGCGACAGCCACTGGTGTGGCCAGTGCGTGGTGGGGCTGTGAGGTGGCGCTTGGGTTAGTGGCCTCAGGCCTGGGCCAAGGGCGAGGTGGCAGGAGAAATGGTTAGAGTGGGCGGCGCTCACGGTTCTGGGACCACAGTGTCCCAGGCCTTGGCCCTGCCCCCAGCTGTCCCCGTCGGCTGCCCCCGTCTCCACCCCCCCACCCGTTGGTGCCCACGGCTTGGGTGTCATGAAATGTCCTTTTTCCAGCCTCGCCATCCACCCCGACAGGATCACCATCGCAACAGGGCAAGTCGCCGGCACGTCAAAGGATGGCAAAGTGAGTCCCTCTCTCTTCCCGCATGTTTGCAGCGCCCCGAGTCCTCTGGGACCCCTCGGCCGATGGGCCGACCTGCTGGGGTGCAGAGGAGGCGAAGGGGCTGTGGCCGCGGGGTAGCCTGTGGGTGCCGGCACCTCCTCCGGGTCCCCTGAGCTCCACCAGGTGTGGCCCCAGACAAGCAAAAAAAGCCTGGGGATGCGTCTGCACCCTCCTGTGAAAGCCGAGGGAAATCAGAATTCTCACGGTGACCCCGCGGCTCCTGGCGCCCAACTGCATGTCGGCCTGAGTCTGTGCCCTCTGCTCCCTCTCGCTCTCCTATCTCCCTCTCTCTCTGTCTCTCTCTGTCTCTGTCTCTCTTCCCCTTCTCTCTCTCCCTCTCTCCGTCTCTCTCTCCCCCTCTCTCCCTTTGTCTGTCTCTTCCTCTCTCTCTGTGTCTGTGTCTGTCTCCTTCTCTCTCTCTCCCTCCTTCCCTCCATCCCTCTCTCTCTCTGTCTCTCCCTCTCCTATCTTCCTCTCTGTCTCTCTCTGTCTCTGTCTCTCTTCCCCTTCTCTCTCTCCCTCTCTCCGTCTCTCTCTCCCCCTCTCTCCCTTTGTCTGTCTCTTCCTCTCTCTCTGTGTCTGTGTCTGTCTCCCTCTCTCTCTCTCCCTCCTTCCCTCCATCCCTCTCTCTCTCTCTGTCTCTCCCTCTCCTATCTTCCTCTCTGTCTCTCTCTGTCTCTCTGTCTCTGTCTCTCTTCCCCTTCTCTCTCTCCCTCTCTCCGTCTCTCTCTCCCCCTCTCTCCCTTTGTCTGTCTCTTCCTCTCTCTCTGTATCTGTGTCTGTCTCCCTCTCTCTCTCTCCCTCCTTCCCTCCATCCCTCTCTCTCTCTGTCTCTCCCTCTCCTATCTTCCTCTCTGTCTCTCTCTGTCTCTGTCTCTCTTCCCCTTCTCTCTCTCCCTCTCTCCGTCTCTCTCTCCCCCTCTCTCCCTTTGTCTGTCTCTTCCTCTCTCTCTGTGTCTGTGTCTGTCTCCTTCTCTCTCTCTCCCTCCTTCCCTCCATCCCTCTCTCTCTCTGTCTCTCCCTCTCCTATCTTCCTCTCTGTCTCTCTCTCTGTCTCTGTCTCTCTTCCCCTTCTCTCTCTCCCTCTCTCCGTCTCTCTCTCCCCCTCTCTCCCTTTGTCTGTCTCTTCCTCTCTCTGTGTGTCTGTGTCTGTCTCCTTCTCTCTCTCTCCCTCCTTCCCTCCATCCCTCTCTCTCTCTCTATCTCTCCCTCTCCTATCTTCCTCTCTGTCTCTCTCTGTCTCTGTCTCTCTCTGTCTCTTTCTGTCTCTGTCTCTCTGTCTCCCCCCACTCCCACTGCCCAGGAGCCGTTAAGCTCTGTCCCACAGTGAACATTCCAACAGAGGTCCACACATTTAAGAGGCGAAGTTAAAAATTGCTACAAATGATCATTTGAAATTGTAAGCCAGTGAGAAAATCAGTAAAGAATCCGAGATACTGAGCCATGGCCAAGGTGATAGCCCCGCGGGGAGGGCGCTGGCCTTGCACATGGCCAACATGCGACATGGGTTCAATCCCCAGCACCCCACAGGGTCCTCCGAGCCCTGCCAGGAGGGCTCATCTCTGAGTGCAGAGCCAGGTGTGGCCCTAAAACAAACCGAAAAGATCACGAGCCTCCAGCTGTGGGCGTTTCGCCTCTTGCACAAACCCCTGCTCCTGGAGGAGCCCCGCTCGGCCCGATGACCCAGCCGCCCGCGCCCTCGGGAAGCAGACACGTGGATGACAGCGGGAGAGGCTGACTCAGACCCGCCCTCTGCGGTGTCCTGCTGTCTGTCCAGGTCTTCACTGCCCATGTGAGCAGGAGCTGGGGCAGGAAGCCTCCCACCCTCCTCAGTGAACTGTGTCCAAAAGCCATCTGCATCTCCTGTTTGCATCTCCCCTTTGTATTGGGGAGATTAGGCCACACCTGGCAGTGCCCAGGGCTGACTCCTGGCTCTGCTCTCAGGGGTCACTCCTGGCAGGCTCGGGGAACCCACGTGTGGTGCCGGGGCTCGAACCCAGGCCTGCTGCATACAAGGCAAGCGATTACGATTCACCCCTGTACTATCGCTCCATTAAATTTTCGTCATTCAATTTTCTGTGAGATGGAGCCTCATCCAGCGATGCTCAGGGTATACTCCTGGTTCTGTGCTCAGGGGGTGTGACACTCCTGGTGTGACTTGGGGGAGAATGATGTGTGTGGCCAGAGATCAAGCCCGGGTGGGCCGTGTGCTCCCGCGCGGTGGCTCCTGCACCTTCCTCAGCCGCCAGCCACCGTGGTGTGGATACCACACTGACACTGAGATGACTCCCTGTGCCTGGTGCTCCCGGGGACGATCTGGGTGCCACTCCTGGCACTGTCAGGACAGTTGGAAAGAGGAGGAAGTGAAGACCTGGAATCCAGGCAGGTCCCCTGGGACCCCACAGGCCCCTCTTGGTGGCGGGAGCATCATGCGTTTGTCCCTGCTCCAGAAGCTGATGGGCCCTCTAGGGCCAGGGGACGTGGGGCCACCAGCCCTGCCGGCCCCTCCCAGACACCCGGGCTCAGGCCCCAGGCCCCTGCCGGCCTCTGCGTGCTAGTGTCTCATGACGCAGGTCTGTCTCGGGCACACTGGACACGGGAAGAGGGCTCGGGACCCCCGAGACGGGGCAGAGTGGACCCTCGCACAAGTCAGGGCCACGTCCGCTGTGAACCCGGCTTTGCAGAGGCCACAGGGGTGAAGCGGGACGAGCCCTACGCGGCTCCACCTTCCTTCCGGGCTCAGAGAGGAGGGCCACCCGGTCAGCAGCGGCCGGGCAGCTGCTCGGGGACCCCGATGGGAAGCGCCTGCCCCCCCGTGGGACCCGGTGACCTCCCCGTCGCTGCCTTCCCAGCCCCAGGCACCCCCACCCTGACACGCGTGTCTTTCTTCGCAGCAACTGCCCCCACACGTGCGCATCTGGGACTCCGTGACCCTGAACACGCTGCACGTCATCGGGACGGGCTTCTTCGACCGGGCCGTCACCTGCATCGCCTTCTCAAAATCCGTGAGTGGGCAGCCGGCCACCGTGGCAAGGGGGTCAGGGTCTCCAGGGTCCTGATCAGCCTCCCCTCCTGCTGGCCATTAGCCCAGCTCGTGGCTGCATCCGGAGTCTCCCCGTGATCGCTCCTGCCCACCTTCAGGACGTGTCGTGGTTGGTGGCAGACCTGGGCCACGCAGCTGCTCTGCCCACCTCACCGCCCAGGCTCCGAACCCGCCAGAGGAGGCCAGTTTGGGTTTCTGGCGGGGTTGGGGATAATTTTGTTTTTTTTTTTTTTTTTGGTCTTTTGGCCACCTCTGGCGGTGTGCAGAGCTGACTCCTGGCTCAGAGCTCAGGAATCACTCCTGGCGGTGCTCAGGGCACCATATGCGATGCCCGGGATGGAACCCGGGTTGGCAGTGTGCCTGTAAGCCCAGCCCCAGAGGCCAATGGCAGAGGCTGTGGTGAAAGCCTCCCTGCCCAGCCCGACCCAGCTGACCCAGTGAGCAGGTCTCAGATCTGTGGATGTGTCTCTATAGCCAGACTGACCGCTCCTTGGGGCCGAGCCAAGCAGACGTTCAGTTCGAACCCGGATCTAGCTGGAATATTCCCCGGTGCCTTGCCTGGGCTTGTGGCAGAACCCCCGCCTGCGGGCACAAGACCCAGGCTGGATCCCGGCAGCGGCCCAGGCCCCACCGGCCACCACATGTGGGTCAGGAAGGGGACAGAGGCCAGCAGAGCGAGCAACGGGCCTGTGCCACACCTCTCGCCCACAGAACGGGGGGAGCAGCCTGTGCGCCGTGGATGACTCCAACGACCATGTGCTGTCCGTGTGGGACTGGCAGAGAGAGGAGCGGCTGGCTGCCGTGAAGGTGCGCCCCCCCCCACGGCCTCTAACCCCCCCCACGACCTCTCGCCCGCCCCCACCATGGCCTCCTACCCCTCCCGCATGGCCTCTCGCCCGCCACCCCCCATGGCCTCTCACCCGCGCCCCCCACTCCCGCTCGGTCTTTCTCCCACTGCTCAGGAGGGGCACTGCCCAGAGAGGCTGCAAGGAAGGCCCTACCCCCGCCCTTCTTCCTGCTGCAGTTCCCAGAATTTTCATCCTTGTCTTTTCCGCCTGTTAAAATCAACGTGTCCAGGCCCACCTGGGTGTCCTCACCCCGCCTCATGCACCTGAGATAAGCTTAAGGTGTCTAACACTACAGGGCTGGACCCTGCCCCCCACCCCACCCTGAGTGCACTGCCCAGGCTCAGGGGCACTGGGGACCCCGGCCCAGGGACTTCGGAGCAGAGTCATAGGGAAGAGCTGCGGGCACAGCTCCGCCCAGGCCATGTCCCCGCGCAGACCCGAGTCCCGCCCTGCATCCCACAGTGCTCCAACGAGGCCGTGTTCGCCGCGGACTTCCACCCCACGGACCCCAGCACCATCGTCACCTGCGGGAAATCGCACCTCTATTTCTGGAGTCTGGAGGGGAGCACGCTGGCCAAGAAGCAGGGGCTGTTCGAGGTGAGGGGGGCGGAGGCCGCCGGTCACCCCTGCCAGCGAGAGCATGCCGGGTTCTGGGCTGGTTCAGGTTCCGGGTCCCGAGTAGGCCGGCCGCTCACCAGCTTCTACGGACGTTCCAGGCAGCCCCGTGCAGGCCAGGGCTGGGGTGTGCCGGGGCCGTGATGTTGGTGGCTTGAGCCAGTGAGCAGAGGGTAGCCCAGAGGCGGCGTCCATCCCTGCAGCACTGCAGACGCCTGGGCCTCAGAGCTCCTCAACAGCCCCCCCGCTACCTGAGCCGTCCCTGCGCCCCACGCCCCCCGGGACTATGGACGGGGTCGCTTCTCGTTGTCCCAGCACCATCTGCCATCCGCTGCTGTGCTGGGAGCGGGCACTGCTCTGTTGGGGAGCCCATGAGCGGTGGAACCACTGAGAAGGAAGGCACAGAGCTGGTGGCAGTGCCTAGTGGGGCCACGGCCCTGTCACAGGCCACATCCCCGGCCTATGTGTCCCTGTGACAGGCCACGTCCCTGGCCCATATGACCCTATGACAGGCCACATCCCGGCCCGCACATCCCTATGACGGGCCCTGACCCCGGCCCGCACATCCCTGTCATAGCCCTCATCCCTGGCCGCCATGTCCCTGGCCTACACGTCCCTGTCACAGGCTTTTTTTTTTTTTTTTTTTGCTTTTTGGGTCACACCCAGCAATGCACAGGGGTTCCTCCTGGCTCTGCGCTCAGGAATTACCCCTGGCGGTGCTCAGGGGACCATATGGGATGCTGGAAATCGAACCCGGGTTGGCCGCATGCAAAGCAAACGCCCTACCCGCTGTGCTATTGCTCCAGCCCCTGTCACAGGCTATTTCATATTCATGCATCTCTGTCACGTTCTGCAGAAGCAAGAAAAGCCCAAGTTCGTCCTGTGTGTGACTTTCTCTGAAAATGGCGACACCATTACTGGCGACTCCAGCGGGAACATCCTGGTGTGGGGAAAAGGTAACGCATGTCCGCGCCCAGAGCTTCTGGCTCATCTCAGGGGGCTGGTGTGGGGGGTGCACAGGTGAGGAGGGGGGCTCGTGGGAGCCCAGCTTCCCTTGTGTATGCACAGGTAAAGCCAAGAACGCAGAGAGAGCAGGGCCTGAAGGGCTCTGGACGGCCCTTCTGGAAGGTTCTCGGAGCCGGAATTGTGACGGGGTCCCTTGTAGGCCTGGACACTTACTGGGCTCTCGCTCCCACCCTCCCCCTTCCCCCCCGGGGCCTGGCGTGTCCTCTTTGGTCTCTGACTGTCCCTTCCTGGTCCTGCCGCCCTCAAACACCCTGAATGCAGCATCGACGTGAGTTGCGCCGGGCCGAGCTGAATCACTGCTCTCGTGCTAACGTTGGTTTTCTCGGTGTTGTTCAGGTACCAACCGCATCAGCTGCGCCATCCAGGGGGCCCACGAGGGGGGCATCTTTGCACTTTGTATGTTAAGGGACGGCACCCTGGTGTCGGGAGGAGGCAAGGACCGGAAGCTCATTTCTTGGAATGGAAACTACCAGAAACTTCATAAAACAGAGGTAAGATGGCGGGAGGCCCCTGAAACTCGTGTGGAAGCGTTTCCTCGCGCGTGGGGCATGTTTGGCCCACTGCTCTGAGAACTGGCGGTTATAGTGACAGTCTGGTCCAGGCTTGGCGGCCGTTTAAGGACCGACATGGACACGGGGCGTGAAACGCGAGACTGTGCACACATCGTGGTTAAAACACTCGGTGGCGGTGGTACTGGTGCTGGGGGTCCCGGTGGGGCTGCCCAGGAAAGCATGTGGTGCCCGGGAGCTAGCCCAGGGTCCCTGCCAGGCACACGCCCTGTCCCCAAGCCCTGCCCTGGCCCCTCAGCTGCCCTACAAGTGGAGGCTGTGGCCCTTCTAGGGCCCGGGTGCACTTGAGAGACGATGGTGCCAGCGGGTGTTTGCTGGGTGTGCCCTGGCCCAATGCCAGCCATGCTACACTGCGGGAGAAAACTCAGGCCCCACTGGACACCCGCTGCTGTCAGGCCAGCCCCGAACCCCAGAAGAGAGGAGCTCTGTACAGCGTCACCAGCTCTGGCTCGTGGGCACCAGGGCCTCCACGCTGGGCTCTGGAATCCTGCTGTCCACGCGGGCAGTGGGCACCTGGATGCTCCCTGCCCTGGAGGGCTCAGGGCACCGAGCCACTGGGCAGGGCCCAGCGGTGATTCCCGGATAGGCAGGCCAGCAGCCCAGTGCAAGGGCCCAGGTCCTGCTGGGACCCTGCAGTCCCGGGTTACCTGGGTCATTGGCTGGTGACGGGGACCTTCCAGGGAAGCACCCGCAGTGCCCGGGGACCCTGTGTCACCAGGGATCAAGCGGGTCGCAGTGCCCTTATCCCTGCACGCTCATCCCTGCTGCCAGGGAGCGTTTTCTCAGGCTGCAGTTGACCAGAGCCTGCTGGCGGGTGCACCCTGGCTGTAATGGGGCCCCGGGGCCTCGTGCCCCCTCCAGCATTCGTGACACCTCTTCAGTGGCACTGCTGTCACCTTCTCCCCGCTCCCGCCCTGTGAAGAGCCCGGGGCAGCCGGCGCTGCTCACCCAGGCGCCATCTGTGGGCTTGGTTCTTCTCCTGAGATGTGGTGCGGCCCCGGAACAGAACAGGCCGCTCGGGCTGCTCCCCTGCTGTGGGCTGGCCCGAGAATGTAGCTGTCTCTGCGTGTGGTCCAGAAAGTGACGCTTTGAGTGGCAGTAAATTTGACTTCATTTTTTTTGGTGGGGGGTGATCATACCTGGTGATGCACAGGCGTTACTCCTGGTTTATGCACTCAGGAATTACTCCTGGCGGACCATATGGGATGCTGGGAATCGAACCTGGGTCGGCCGCATGCAAGGCAAATGCCCTACCTGCTGTGCTATCACTCCAGCTCCAAATTTGACTTCTTAGGTGTGAGTTTTATTCTCGCCTTTCCGGATTTAAGCTGCGATTGCTACCAGGAATAAGTCAAATTTACGAGTCAGAGGTTTTCTTTTTCAGCCTTGTCCAGGAAAAAGACTTTCTTCTCCCTTTTTCACATCCTTCCTCTTGCCGATTCCTTGAAGGCATGTGAAATGTTTGCCTTCATGTTTGCTTTGCTCATTCTTTACCCAAGAGAAACTTTCCTCTCTCTCTACACTGTTAGTGCCTGTCTGTGCATGTATTTGAGCGTATGTATATATCTGTGTGCATGTGTGTGTATATGTGTGTGTCCATGTAACTGTGTGCATCTGTATCTGTGTATGTGTACGCTTGTCCATGCACATCTGTGTATGAGTGCATGTGTGCATGAGTGTATCTGCGTGTGCATGTCCATGTATCTCTGTGTGTATGTGTGTGTACCTGTGTATCTGTATGTGTGCATTTGTGTATCTGCATGTACAGATCAATATATCTGTCTACACATGTGTATATCTATGTATCTCTGTGTACATGTATATACATGCCCGTGTAACTCTGCACGTGCATTTGCATGTGAAAGTTCTTGTATCTGGGTGTACATGTCCATGTATCTTTGTGCATATCCATGTATCTCTGCATACACATGTGTGTGATGTCCATGTATCTCTGAGTATACATATGTGTGTGTGTGTGTGTGTGTGTGTGTGTGTGTGTGTGTGTGTGTGTGTGTGTTTTCAGAAGGTCTGGCGGTGCTCTATCTCTCCTGCCGCCCACGTTTGGTAGTCTTGAGCCATTTCCCCCATCCCAGGGAGGTCGATGGCGATGGGCAGGCGAAGCAATGAACGAGGGCCAGGCTGGTCAGTATCAATTGTAGTTTATTCCAATCTTCACTCTCACCTCTGATTCTGCCCTCTGGAGCCCAAGCTCCCGAGCCCGAGCCCGTGCCTCAGCCTGAGCCTCAGTCTCTGCTGTCTCGAGCCCAAGCCCCCTTCGAGCTTACAGTCTTAGTTTATATAGCAATCACGTAGGGTGGTGACACAAAGGTGGGTTGAACATTAACAAATCAGCAAAGAGAGGTAAGACCACTCCTCGAGGAGATTAACTCAAGGATTAAATCTCATCTAAAGAGATTTATTCCAGATTACTAGGAGATCTGCTCAAGGGTGGGATCCCAACAAGGGTGTGTTCTTTCCTCAGCTAGTAATCTACTTAAATAGTTTAGTAAGTCTACTTCTAATATTTCTAGCAACGTCATTCTGTATGAGCACAGTAAGAGATAAACTTACAGTTTGGTTCTTCCTGAGGACATCTCACTATATATTCCGCTATGTGTGTGTGTATATATATATATATATATATATATATATATATATATATATATAGGGCTGGAGCGATAGCACAGCGGGTAGGGCGTTCGCCATACAAGCGGCCAACATGGCCGACCCGAGTTCGATTCCTCCGCCCCTCTCGGAGAGCCCGGCAAGCTACCGAGAGTATTCGATATGCCAGACACAGTAACAACAAAGTCTCCAATGGAGACGTTACTGGGCCCGCTCGAGCAAATCGACGATCAACAGGGGGGCCTTTTATATATATATATATATATATATATATATATATATATATATATATCAGTCCTCAGGCCAGGTTAGTCTTCCTAGCCCCAGCAGGGTTCTAGTCTCATCATTACTTACTTTTGGATCATGACAGCATTTGTCCATGATCATGCCCTCAACTTATAGTTGAGTATCATGGCACTTTGGCCTGGCCCATTTCGATGCCAGGGTAGTTCACGGCTTGCCCTGGGTCCATTCAGTCCCTCGTCGGGACCCTGCTTTTGGGGTGCTAGGAACTAAGGGCAACTGAGTCAAGAAAGCAGATGCCCAGGAGTAAATATTATTCGGAGTCAATCAACTCCCACATTACAAAGCATAATATAACTGTCTTCCTGTGTCCATACAGAAAGGACATTGCTTTAAGGTAAACTATGCAAAGGACATAACTTACAATACAAGTTCAGTGTCCTTCGAAGGATCTGATCTTACAAGCTAACAGAATCTGATTAGGGAGAAAAGGTGATTAAGTGGCTGGGGAAGGAGAGCACAGAGAAGAGTTTACAGATAAACAGAGGAATGGGAGTGACTCGGGAGCACTGTGATGGGTGTAACCCGATAAACCTGAGCTCCCTGTGGCAATGTTATTCTACATGTGTGCGAGTCTGTATATCTCTGTGTGTGCATTTGTGTGTGCATGTGCAAGTTCATGTAGCTGGGTGCAATTGTCTATGTATCTGTGTGTGCATATCTATGTATCTTTTGTGTGTGCATGTCCATGTATCTGCATGTGCATGTCCGTGTATCTGTGTGTGTGCATATGTATGTGTTTCTGCGTATCTCTGAGTGTGCTTGTGTGTGTGCGCGTGTCTGTGTATCTGTGCCTGCGTGTCTGAGACAGAGTAGCTATGACCAGAGTTGGCATCATGATACATCACTGAGGATTTTGAGTGACCAAGTCCATGCTCCGTTGACCTGTCCCCCCCTTTCCCACCAGATCCCAGAGCAGTTCGGTCCGATCCGCACAGTGGCCGAGGGGAAGGGCGACGCAATCCTCATCGGCACCACCCGGAACTTTGTCCTGCAGGGCACGCTCTCGGGGGACTTCGCCCCCATCACTCAGGTGAGGGCGGGCAGCGCAGTGTGTGCTGGGCCAGAAGAAAGCCCGCGTGAGGCTGCGCCCTGCGCTCACACATCCGTCGTGGGCAGCAGCCACTGTCGGTCAGCGGGAAGGACAAAGTGCCGGGACTGTGGGTGCGTGCACAACCCCGCCTGTGGGCTCTTGAGAGTGGCCAACGCGTCCCTGTGTTGCCTTTGCAGGGTCACACGGATGAGCTCTGGGGACTGGCCATCCACACCTCCAAGCCGCACTTCCTGACCTGTGGCCACGACCGGCATGCCACCCTGTGGGACGCTGTCAGCCACCGGCCTGTGTGGGACAAGGTCATCGAGGTAGACATGGTCACTGCTGTCCCTTTCCTGATGCGGAGTTATCGGGGACACTGTCACAACTTTGGGGAGCGTGAAAGTCATTGTGATACGAAACTGCCCACAAGGAACTGGGGGATTGTTCAGGGCTCAGGGCAAGTGGAGGCCAGCTCCTGAGACTGTCCAGGGGCCAGGGCTGTGCAAGACCAGCGCCTGGTCTAAGTCTGGTCCCAGCCCCCCACGGTCTCCTGAGCATCTGGCTGCAGCCTAGAGGCCCCAGCATGGCCACAGTGACCTGGACGGTCCCCCATGCTGCAGCCTGGACGGTCCCCATGTTCAGGCCTGGAGGGTCTCTGTGTGCAGGCCCTGGAGCAGCCCCCCGCCTCCCTCCCGTGCACGCTCAGGTGTAGTGGCTGGGATCGGCACCAAACACAAATAAGGGAAAACAAAGGTGCCCTTAGGCGCTCAGGACAGAGACTCGCAAGTACTCAGTGCCAGTGTGTACTTTCAGAAGCATGACGCATGGCACTGGCGTGCCAGGCCCTGCACACACCCTGCCTGCGGCCCAGTGGCAGTTCTGTGGGCATGGGGGGTGGGCTACCCTGTCTCCCGAGGTGTACCTGGCAGGCAGTCCCCTGCATCCGGGGTGGGGGTCTCCCCGAATCCAGTGACCCAAGCTGTGGGAACAGACCAGGGCAGGGGCAGCTGGGCGCTGACACAGACACTAGAGGGCGTATGCGGGCTGCGGATGGCAGGGCCGTGGGCAGGGCCACCGGGGCTCGGGTTGCTCCTGAGGACCAGGCATCAGAGGCCTAGGACCAGGTTATTCCCGAACCTTCCCTGTGACCCACTGGCCCTCCCACCCCTTGGCAAGCCTAATGGGCAGCTCAGAGCTGTCCGAGATGAAGCCCCAGGCCCTGCTGGGTCAGTGACCTCAGACAGACAGACAGAGGGAGCCTATCGCCCCCAGCCCTCTGTGTCTTCCTGTCCCCGTGCCAGGGCTGCCCGTGAGCAGAGGGGTGCGAGGCCAGTGTCGGGGCCCACACAGCAGCTGCTGTCCCGCTCCCAGGCACGGGTCCCGGCCCCTTGGGCTCCCAGGGAGGAGGACACCTGTGTCCCCACTGGCCGGAAACGGGCTGAGCCAGAGTCGCCACCCCAAGTCCTGCCCTGCTCCTCCCGCCCCACAGTGGACACAGGTCAGAGGCCGCGGGTCCAGGCAGGCACACGGTGCGGCTGGATTGTCGGGATCCATCAACCGGGACCTGGGGACCAGAGTTTCCTTGTGGCATGGCAGGGGCAGGGGTGGTAGGTGACCCCAGGGTGGAAGCCAGAAGGTGGAACCCCCCCCCAAAAAAAGAGGGGGATCACCCCAGGCTGGGCGCCTGTTAGTGAAACATGACCTTCATTCAGTAGGAAGGTATTTCCTCTGATGAGAGGCGGCTTGTGAACAGGGTGCTTGTAACGTGTGTGTGCACATGCGTGTACATGTGTGCATGTGAGTGCACGTGTGTGCACATGTATGTGCGTGTGCACGTGTGCGTGTACACAGGTGCTGCAGTGCTGTCTGACCATCCATTTACACTTCCTTTACAATGTTTTAGGACCCAGCTCAGTCTTCTGGTTTTCATCCTTCAGGGTCTGTGGTCGCAGTTGGAACACTGACTGGGAGGTGAGTCGGCGGCAGCCCCGAGGGGCTCTCAGGTGGGGGTGGAGGTCTCCCGGGGGCTGCTCAGGGCACACAGCCTGGAGTCAGACAGGAGGTACCGGGGTCATGGGAAGCACACGCCAGAGTCAGCCGCCACAGTGCCAGCAGCATTTCAAGGCAGCGTTTACCAAGTCCTGTGCCTAGTAGGCTTACACACACATGTGCACACACATGTTCATACCTGTGTACATTGTTAGTGTGCACATATATTCTCATACACTCATGTCATTACACATGTTAATTCACCATGTTCCTACATGTGTTCACATGTGTGTGCACTGGTGGTGACATGCTATTGCACATGTGCACACGTGCTCTTACACATGTTGATGCACACACACAGTGCTCCTACAGGTGTTCACGCGTATGCACCTGTGCTTAAGTGCTAATGTTCCCATGTGCACACATGTGCCCGCACTCACACACGCACACACCCCTTCCTTTCTTGGGAGGGCAGCAGAAGTGTCCAGGCAGGGGTCATCTGCTCTGGGCAGGGTGGGCTGTGGGGAAGTGCCAGCACCCTGAGGCCCCCGGTCCCTGTCTCAGGGATGCAAGAGTGGGAGGGGACATGGGGCCATGCACCCCTCCCAAGCCCGAACATCACAGGTCCTGCACCGCTGCCTGGCCCAGCCAGCCTCTGGACTTTTGCCCTCTGTCAGGGTCACTGGCACACCATGGGCCAGTGGTCATCAGAGGGAAAGTCTCAAAGTTGAAACGTCTCAAAATTGTGGGGCATCGGCTAGGACCATTGAGAGGCAGCGGGCAGGGCCCCGGCCAGCGATGTCCACTCAGCTGCCGGGCGGTCAGCCGGGATTGAGACTGTGGCCTTGGGGAGCCCCCGCACCTGCCCCCTGACCACACGGTCATGGTCAGCGCTCCATGCTGGCATTTCTGGGCCCCTCCGGACCCCCAAATGCCTCGTGCCCACTGGGGCCTGCGTGCCGTGCTCATACGGGAGTTGCTGGGCCTCACAGGGTCCCACACACGCCCTCTGTCCCCTCCTCCCGGCATCCCTGGGACATTGGTCCCCCAGGTGCCCATCCCCTCGGGCTTTCTCATCCTCGTTGGAGCCACGGACAAGGGTTCGGGCTGCCCTTTGGGGCCTCCCCAGCGCGGGCACCTGCACGGCCTTCCCTGCGCCTCTCACCGCCCCGTTCACCACAGGTGGTTTGTGTTTGACACCGAGACCAAGGACTTGGTCACTGTCCACACGGACGGGAACGAGCAGCTGTCCGTGATGTGCTACTCGCCAGGTGAGGGCAGCTGCCAGAGCCACGCGCCCTGCGTGAGTGTGTGTGGGCACACACGCGTGTGGGGGGTGTGCGTGTCTGGATGTGTGTGCATGTGGGTAGGTGTGCGTGTGCGCGTGTGTGTCTGGGTGTGTGTGCATGTGGGCAGGTGCGTGTGTGGGGGAGGTGTGCATGTCTGGATGTGTGTGCATGTGTGTGGGGTGGTGAGTGTGTCTGGGTGTGTGCATGTGGGTAAGTGTGCATACATGTGGGGGGGTGTGCGTGTCTGGCTGTGTGTGCTTGTGGGTAGGTGTGTGTGCGTGCATGTGGGGGGGGTGCATGTCTGGGTGTGTGTGCATGTGTGTGGTCATACACGCGTGTGGGGGGGTGAGTGTGTCTGGGTGTGTGCATGTGGGTAGGTGTGCATGCGTGTAGGGGGGTGTGCATGTCTGGGTGTGTGTGCATGTGTGTGGGCATACACGCGTGTAGGGGGTGAGTGTGTCTGGGTGTGTGCATGTGGGTAGGTGTGCGTGTCTAGGTGTGTGTGCATGTGGGTAGGTGTGCATGCGTGTGGGGGGGTGCATGTCTGGGTGTGTGCATGTGAGTTGTTGTGCGTGCGCATGTATGGGTGGGCGTGTGGGTGTCTGTGTACATATGTGGGTGTGGGTGGATGCATGTGTGTGGGTGGGCGTGTGGGTGTCTGTGTACATATGTGGGTGTGGGTGGGTGCATGTGTGTGGGTGTGCTCATGTATGGGTGGCCGTGTGTGTCTGCACATATGTGGGTGTGGGTGTGCGCATGTGTGTCTACATATGAGCCCGTGTGGGTGCATGTGTGGGGGTGAGGGGGCCTGTCTCTCACACACACACACACACACACACGTACACACAATTGGCTGTTATGCTGGGGTGTGTGTAGGGTCTCTCTCTGCCCTTGGAGAAGCCTGTGTTCCCCCTTGAGTGCGTTACACACTCTCTCTCTCTCTCTTTCTCTCTCTCTCTCACTTTCCCTCCCTCCTCACCTCAAAAATCTCTAAATAAAATCCATTTTACTTAAGGAAAAAACAAAACAAAACATCAGCTATAACTCATGTAAATTAAGAGGCTGCCTTTGTAGGAAGAGTTTATTGTCCTCTTTCAGGTTAATTTATTATTTGTCTGTTTTCTTGAAGTTATCAGGTTTGTTGGCATAAAATCGGTCAGTGTTTATGTCCCTCGTGATTTTTCTGAATTTAATGGTGGGGTTCCCTGTTTCATTCTTGATTTTCGTAACTTCTGTCTTCTTGGCCTTTCTGTGGGGTGCTTGTAGCATCATTGGGTCCCATCCACCCACAACATGGCACTGTTGGGGTCCCCCTCACCCACGACACGGCACCGTCAGGTTCCCCTCCACCCATGTTTGTGCCATTCATGATAGCGCCACGGAAACAGCCGGAAGGACAGGACAGCAGGGAGGACCCCTGCCTTGCAGGAGCGGCCTGGGTTCTGTCTCCGGAACCCCATCTGTCCCCCAGCCTGGCCGACCAGGAGCAACCCCGAGTGCAGAGCCAGGAACAAGCCCTGAGCACTGCCATGTGTGACCCCAAAACAAGAAAAGAAATAATAACACACAGAACAGCCCCAGGGGAGTCCGCTGACCAGGGCCTGGATAAGCAGGCCATGCCCTGACCAGCCAGCTGTGCCCGTCAGGCCAACTGCCCAGGGAAGCAGCCTGTCCAGAAAGACTCCTGTCCCCTGGCCCATCAGAGGTGCCCGCGGGGTTGGGCCCAGGGTGGGGCGTTGTGGCTCTCCGGGTCCCTGACTGCACTGGGTGACCCACTGTGCTCTGCTCCACCCTGGGCGCCACTGCCTGCCCCCTCGGGGCTCCTGTGCTGGCCTCGGCAGGCTGGGCTTCTCCCGGCTCCCCACTCCCTCTCCCCTGCCTTGCCTCGCTGGGCTCCGCCCTGGGTTTCCACAGAAGCGCCCAGTCTGCTCTGGGGCTTCCCGGAGGGCAGAAGCCTGGGGAGACATACTAATGGACTGTCCACCCAAAGGGCGGCGTGGGGGCCTGCAGGGGAGCACAGAAGCTGTGGACAGACATGAGACAGGAAGGGCCTGCCAGGAGGGCCGTGGGCACAGAGGGGAGGTGAGGGGGGTATACCAGAAAGTCAGTGGGCACAGAGGTGAGGCGGGAAGGGCCTACCAGGAGGGCCATGGGCACAGAGGTAAGGCGGGAAGGGCCTTCTTGGAGCGGAGGGGAAGGACAGTCATGCAGAGGGGAGGCAGGAAGGGCCCAGGGCCCAGGTTTGCTCTGTGGGCAGGTGGCCGGGCCACGGCCTCCCTTGCAGGCGCTGCTTGGGCCTGCCCCTGCAGCTCTGTCAGCACTTGTCCTTGACGGGCTTTTGTGATTCTGGAATGTCGCGTGTCTGCAGATGGGAACTTCCTAGCAATCGGCTCCCATGACAACTGCATCTACATCCACGCAGTCAGTGACAACGGCAGGAAGTACGCGCGGGTGGGCAGGTGCTCGGTAAGCAGCTCGGCAGGGGGCGGGCTGGGACCCCCGGTGGGGCCTCCCGTGACACCCTGTGGATCCCTCCAGGGTCACTCCAGCTTCATCACCCACCTGGACTGGTCCGTGGACTCCCAGTACCTCGTGTCAAACTCCGGAGACTACGAGATCCTCTACTGTGAGCGGGCCTCTCGCGCACGCGCCCGGGCCTCCTGATCCGGTCCTGGGGGGCTGCACGCAGGGACCCCGAGAGCTCTAGACGGGGGGAGGATCGAGGGACAGTGGAAGGGACATCCTGAGCAACAGCACTGGGCGGTCAATCCCCTGGACACAGGCCTCTGGACAGTCAATCCCCCTGGACACAGAGTCCTCTGGGTGGTCAGTCCCCTTGGACACAGAGTCCTCTTGGCAGTCAGTCCCCCTGAACACAGAGTCCTCTGGGCGGTCAGTCCCCCTGGACACAGTCCTCTGGGCGGTCAGTCCCCCTGGACACAGAGTCCTCTGGGTGGTCAGTCCCCCTGGATACAGAGTCCTCTGGACGGTCAGTTCCCCTGGACACAAGCCTCTGGACGGTCAGTCCCCTTCGAAGGCTCTGGCCTGTGGTGGGCTGTATAAGGGCTGCAGGATGGGCCGGAACAGCCCGAGGCCCAGGGCCCAGATCCCGGGTGGGGGCTCGGGCGGACACAGACGGTGACCAAGGAGGGCATTGTGGAGGCAGGGGCTCCAGCTCATGTGGTCCCGTGTCGCCCTTCCCAGGGGTTCCCTCTGCCTGTAAGCAAGTGGTCAGCGTGGAGACCACGCGCGACATCGACTGGGCCTCCTACACCTGCACGCTGGGCTTCCGCGTCTTTGGTGAGTTGGCCCGGGGGCCGGTCGGTGCTGCTCCAGGGCCTGTCCCCCGGAAGGCGTCCCCCAGGAGAGCAGGGCCGGGTTCGGGACCTCACCAGCCCCCTGCCGGGTGCAATCTGGGGGCAACCGACAGGAAGCCGGACGCAGAGCCCGGGGCCCCAACAGGCAGAGGGCCGCTCCGCCCCAGGCCTGATGCTGTCTTGCCTTCAGGAGTGTGGCCAGAGGGCTCGGACGGGACGGACATCAACGCCGTGTGCCGGGCCCACGAGAAGAGGCTTCTGTCCACGGGCGACGACTTTGGCAAAGTGCACCTCTTCTCGTACCCGTGCTCCCAGTTCCGGGTAAGGCCCGAGAGAGAGAGAGACGGTGCCTTGCGCCATGCCCACCCCCCTCTGTCCCCAAGCATCCCCCCTCCAGTCACTGCCAAGCACAGAGCCAGGAGTAGCCCCAGGCCCCACTCAGTGTGGACCCCCCCCCCCCGCCACCCCCACAAGGTCCTGTGGGACGGCTCTCCCGCCCTGAGGGCTCGTGTCGCTCTCCTCAGGCTCCCAGCCACGTGTACAGCGGCCACAGCAGCCACGTCACCAACGTGGGCTTCCTGTGTGACGACAGCCACCTCGTCTCCACGGGCGGCAAGGACATGAGCATCATGCAGTGGCGGCTGGTCTAGTCCCGCGGGCGCCCGGCCCGGCCGGTCACTGTGATTCCCGTCTCGTCGAAGAGTTCTTTACAAACCTCAGGAAAATGTGCCCCTTCCCAGGCCCAGAGCTGGGGTGGGGGGTCGGGGCGGCCCAGTGGGCCGGCGGTTCCTGCGCCTCCTAGGTGGACAGGACGGAGAACCCCTTCCCTGGGACGGGGACGTAGGCAGAGGTCACCCGTCTGCCCCGGCCACTTTCCTAGCACCCCTTCCAACCTGTCACAGAATGCCTTTTCCCAAACGCCCCTGCAGGCCAGCGAAGCAGAGGGCCCCGGCCCCAGTGGGCTTCCGTGTTCCCCCAGAGAAAGGAGTAGTGACGTGCCGGGCGGAATGAGGACAACAAGGGCTGGGGTGCCCTTCGGAAGGGGATGGCTAGGCGCCCTCCAGGGTCCCGAGAAGGGGCCGCAGCCTGGGTGCAGGAAACAGTCCGCTGTTTCGCTGGGGGGCCCTGGCGATGGGCGTTTCAGGGGCCCGTGCAGACACACCCACCCAGCAGGTCCCCTGATGCTCCCCGGTTCACTACCTGGGGAATAGTCTCAGGCCATGGCCGGCCCCCACCCTGTGCACTCATTGGCATGAGATGGCATCGTTGCTTGTCTAGGATGTAGCAGTCCCTAATTAAAACGGAAGGCTCCACTCCCCTGTTCTGTGCCCACGGGCAGCTGTATATTTGTAATGTAAGACCAGGCAGGCCAAGTCGGAGGGCGGTCCCCGACCGTCCCACACATGGTGGTGGGGACAAGTCCCAGGAGGCGCCCCCAGGCTCCCAGGCAGTGGGAGAGCGGCTGTTGCCCTCGGAAGTCGGATGGCGGGGAGAGGGGGGAGGCGGCGCCCGTCTCGACGGCGGCAAATTGGACCTGACTGTTTCCACGGAGGGGGGAATGTTCCCTGGATTCTCAAGTCGAGACACAACGGCGGACCCTCGTGCCGCTCCGGCCCCCGGAAATGAACAGACCCACGGGAATACGCGCGTGGCCTGTTGGGCCTTGGGGAACATGTCTGTCACCTCTCCGGCCCGCAGCAGAATGCGGGGCGCCGTGATCCACATGTATCGAAGACGAATCTGTTTGTATGTATCCTTATCAAATATATTCTATGATGAAATAAAATGAGCAGAAGGCGTCTCTTCTGACGCGTCATCCCGGACGTACCAATTCAAGTATTTCAAGTTAGCCCGGACTCACGCCGAGCTCCATTTCAGACTCAGGTGATTTTGCTCAACCGTTGGTGTGTAGACGGTAGGAAACTGCTTCAGCCAATGGGCTCGCAAGGAAGAATCCAGCAGAATTCCCACATCCAGAGATTGGTTTGCTTGGTTATAGAAATACTGGCAAAGACAATCATTTTGTGAGAGTTCAAGGACGGAAAATTGATGTAATTGATATAAAGTTCTAAGCGCCCTTGTGATTTCCATGGCCGGCTGCCATTTTTCCAAGTCAGTAGTTAGATTATTGCTGTCTTTACACCTGCCTGCGTTTGAGTTGAACTGAAATAGTCAGGATGGAGAGACAGTAGAGTGGGGAGGACGTTTCCCTTCCACATCAGAGACCCGGCACCCCACATGGTCCCCCAAGCCCACCAAGAGTAATCCCCAAACACAAGCCGAGGAGAAGTCCTGAGCACTGCCAGATGTGACACCTCCCCCAATATAACACACACACACACACACACACACACACACACACACACACACACTGAAGAATCAGTTTTTTTCCACCTGAGATTTCATCATTAACATCACTTCCTCTCAGGGCTGGAGCAATAGCACAGCGGTAGGGCGTTTGCCTTGCACGCGGCCAAGCCAGTCCCCAGCATCCCATATGGTCCCACGAGCACCGCCAGGAGTAATTCCTGAGTGCATGAGCCAGGGGTAACCCCTGTGCATCGCCGGGTGTGACCCAAAAAAGCAAAAAAAAAAAAAATCACTTCCTCTCTTGGGGCCAGAGACAGTACAGTGTGAGGGCGCTTGCCTTGCACGTGTCCCATCCAGGTTCAAGTCGCAGCATCTCATATGGCCCCTCGAGCATACCAGGAGTGGTCCCTGAGCACAGAGCTAGGAGTAAACTGAGCTCTGCTGGGTGTTGCCCAAATACCAAAAAAAATGATATTTTTAAAAAAAATTTAAATAAAACAAACAGAAAACAATCACCTCCTCCCCGCAACATGGGCGAGGGTTCTGTTGGAACGACGGGCCCCAGAGGACAGAGTCAGGCCTCCGGATCCCGCAGACCTGTGACCACAGGCCCCCAAACCCCTCTGGGGAGAGTGAAGGGTCAGGACTGTCCCATTTGGGGGCTGGAGCAATAGTACAGTGGGGAGGGCATTTGTCTTGCACGTGGTCAACCCGGGTTCGATCCCCAGCATCCCATATGGCCCCCCAAGCACCGTCAGGAGTAATTCTTGAGTGCAGAGCCAGGACTAACCTCTGTGCATTGCCGGGTGTGACCCGAAAAGCCTAAAAAATAAAACGAAAACTGTCCCGTCTCTGCCGAGGTGTGGTGTGGACCTGGGTGTAGTGGCTGGGTCCAGCAGTCACTCAGGAGGTTTGCTGGACGGGGCACAGTGGCAGGTGAGACATGGACACCCCAAGATGTCTTGGTTTTGTTTCTGCAGAGCTGGGTTTGAACCCAAGTCTCAACATTCACTGCAAGGGCTGGGCTCCCCCTTGCCCTGCACTCCAGTCTGCAGGAGGGTGAGAGGTGGGCAGGGGGCACTGTGGGCCTGCAGGGGCTGAGCAGGCCAGGCAAGGAGACCTCCCACCGCCTCGGGGGGTCCAGAATTCCAGAGTGGAGCTCGCAGGGCTGGGTACCAGGCAGGGAGCACGTGGTGGAGACGCAAGTGGCCCAGGACTGGCCCGGGGTCACCTTCACTGGGGATAGCTCAGGGTGGGGGCGGGGCCTCTCCCTAGAGAGCAAGGAGTCTGAGCACCTCACTCATCCCTGGGAGGTTTGGGGTGACGACCGCTGATGGTGAAGGGGTGATGATTTCCATGTGCCCTGGGGGACCACTGTGCACTGCCAGAGAGGAAATTATGTCCACTGTGACAAGGTGGGTGAAGCTCAGGGGACTGTGTCCATGTGGGATGTGAAGTCGATCACTGGATCACTGACGTCACTCCCAGGGATATGAATGACGAGTAACGGGAGCTGGCAAGCTAGCATGGGCACCTGAATGCCCGGCTGGTGAAATTTGATGGTTCTGGAGGGAGAGGCGAGGGGTGAGAGTGAAGGGGGAGGCGTGGGAACTCAGCTTGGGAGCACGGTGAGCGCGGAGAGGTGTGAGGCCACCCTAGAGCACTGCCACCCATGGGAGTCAGGGGAGAAGGGCGACTTGACTTGTCCAGGCTAAGAACAAGAAGCCAGAAGCCAGAGGCGGGCAAGGCCCCTGCGGCCGTTGCATAACCTGAAATCCCCTGGACTTTCCGCCTCATTGTGGCCAGTTCTGCAGAGAGCCCTGCCCTGGCCTTGCACACGGCACCACTCTGGTTACCTCCCCTGGCCTGGCCTTGCACACGGCACCAGCTCTCTCCAGGCATTCACACACACACACACACACACACACACACACACACACCCCAGTTTTGCACACGGCACCACTGTCCTGCTGCTTCTCCACCTTTCATCTGCCCCTCCTCCCCCCCAACCCCGCCTGGCCTTGCACACGGCACCATTCTCTCCTCCTCTGGCTGCTTCTGAGCCCAGCACTCCCGCGTGTCCATGACTGGCAGGTTGTTATTTCATTACAGCCTGTGTGAGTGTCGCATCTGCCCGACCCCGCCCGGGCCCAGGCCCGTGAACCCAGTTACAGCCACACAGCCGCCCCCTGCCCCCAGCCCCTGAGCAGGTCACTCCCATCGTGGCCCCCAGTGGGCTGTCCTGGAAAAGGTCCTTATGGGGAGCTCAGTGACCATCATCCCTTGCCGCCACCTGGCTCTGTCCTGCCCATCTACAACGCGCTCTCTCCCCCAACTCTCCCTCTGTCTTGCTGGCCCACTACCGTAACTTTCCTAACTCAGAAGTCTTTTTCTGGGGCCAGAGAAATAGTACAGCTTTCTAAGTTGCTTGCCTCACAAGAAGCCAACCCTGGTTCTGTTCCCAGAACCCCATCTGGTCCCCTGAGCACTGGCAGGAAGGATCCCTAAGGACACCCAGGAATGTCCCCCCCCCCAAAAAAAAGCCACTTCCTCCTAGAAGCCTTCCCTGAATGTCTTATCTGGGTCCCTCCTGTGTGGCCCCATTATGGTAGAACATTCCTGATCACTTTGAATCCTTGCCAGGGGTCCCCTCAGCCCACTCCCTGATTCGGGGGAGCCTTTCTTGCCTGGAGAAAACCCCTCTCTGCTTCGTACTTTTAACTTTGCACCCTCCCAGGTGACACACACTCCTTCCCCCGCCCTGAGCTCAGAGCCAGTCGGGGCGGTTCTGGGGAGTGTGGGGGGACCGAGGGAACGAGGAGACCCTTTGCTCTTGAACTCCATCGCTGACCCTGGTCCCGACCCTGACTGTCTCTTTGGCAGACGGCACAGTCGAGAGTGGCCTGGCCAACGGTGCGTCTTTGGTCCCTTGGCCCTCTCAGGGGTGCTGAGCTCCAGGCCAAAATCATCTTTACCCTCCCCTCCCCCTGCCATGCGTCTTGCAAAAATAAAACCCAAAATGATGGTTGCCATTTGGGAAGCTGCTTTTTTAGCAATCGGATCCTCTTTCCCCTTGGAGTGGCTTCCGGGCGGAACTGTACGCGGCTATTTTTACCTTCAGGCTGTAAACCTCGTTGTCATTTCTCCAAGGAGAGAGTCTGCCTGGAGGAAGCGCCTCCTGCCTCCCGCCTCCCGCCAGCAGCCCGACCCGGCCTAGGTCCAGGTCGTAGGGGGAGGCGCAGTTCAGTGCTGGTCCAGATAAAGCGGTGGTTTTGTCAAAGGTAGAAACACGCATGCACATGCGCACACACGCACACACACACACCAGCACTCACACACATGCATACGTGTGTGTGC